TTGTCATTATGAAACGCAACTTGGAAGCCTAAATAGTTAGCCCGATCCCAAGTGAACAGCAAACAGATGAAAGAGAGATGAAGCCGAGCGCTTTTGACGGGTCTTGAACCCAATTTCATCAAATCCCAATTGGTTGTTATAGGCCTCCCAGGAGTCATCCGAAACAGGGAAGGCTGCACCTTGATGATTAAAAGACATGAGTAAGGCATAAAGCGCATGGAAACAGTGAGAGGGGCCCCATCTTGGTTTATCCTTAACCAACATCAGTGGAATGCTTTAAACGATATGAATGGCTGATAAGTAGATCACACTCTATTAAGGAAACATGAGTCATGACCGTCCACTTTCTGGAGTAAATCAAAGAGCTAGCCAACATGACAAAGGATGTCTTCCAAAAGAGCCTTGCCCATTTTTTTTTGGATGTTTTGAGTACATGCGAAGTGTAAAAAGTATGCCGACAAAGCGCCTAACTAGCTCCTGCCAACTCTCCACAATGCCAGTGGTGGCAATAGGTCACGTTCGCGTCAAGTTACAGTTTGCCTTTTAACTTCTTCTTTACTCTTTTCAGAAGAGACATGATCTCCCACTGTTCCTCTACTCAACATAATCCACAGCTACTTGAACTAGATAGAGATTGATAATTGAAAGGGTCCCGTTAGATCATTATGTTGGTCATGAAATTGGAATTTCAAGTTAATTTCGAGTTGGGATCTATTCATAATTGGAATTTCATGATAGTTTCGAGTTGGGATCTATTCATAATTTTCCTTTTGCTGCAAATATACATGAAATGAATTTTGTTTAAAGTAATTTTGGATTATATAATTTTACAAAAATAAATAGCGCGATGCGCAGGCTTACAAACTAGTAAACTCCACAAGGAAACAAACTTATTTGAGGCGCAGAAATCACAGAAAACCTTTAGAGCTTTACACAAGTAATTCAGATGTGAAATTCAAACACGATAGAGCCTTATAACCTGCTCAATCTTGGTACGACATACAGGGCAACCCCATTTCTTGGCTTTAATCTCATTCAAACAAGACATGCATCCAGCTACATGGCCACAAGGGACGCAAGCTGCCTCAGATGGAGCATCCAAACATATCACACATGAAGAAGGAGCTTCGTCTTCTTTTGTTTGATCTGCACTTGCAGATACGCTTTCAATATTTGTGGAAGACATATCAATCGGACTGGAATCAATCGATGGATATTGAATTGGACCATCTTCTATGATCTCATTAACAGCTGGTGGGGCTGATGGGACTGAATCTGAGGTTTGCACTGTCGTATGGACAGCAGAAATGTTATTATTATGGATCCCCGTGCCCTCAGTTGAATTGCTACCAGAGCCAGGTTCAGTCATTGACCATTCACTGATGCTTGCCTTTGTAGGAGCAGATGCCATCACTGCTATTGAACCACTGTGATTGCTAGTACTTACAGAGCTACTCCAACTGGTGGATGAACCAGCCTCATTGCCAGAATGCAAATCGAAATTGGGTGTCTCTGCAATAGCTGACTGGATAGAGGCACTGATTGCCATTGCTAATTCTAAATCCTCTGCATCTTGTGGTGCAGTTGCCTGAGCAGCTGGAGGCTGAGAATTATGCAGAAATGCAGGACCTGTTGCCTACATATTCCAAATTCCATAACTCACATAAACATGGAGTTTTAATGTGAAAGACTGAAAATTAACTGGACATTTACCGTGCCAGATATATCAGACACCAAAAGTTTCATATTTCTAAAAGTTGGGTAAATGAACAACTACACTGAGGTTTTACTTGTTACTGCATAAACTCTGGAACCCAACACCCTCACAACCCAAAAACAAAAGTCTACATCTCATATACCTTATAGAATGTTTGTGTAGTTTCAATAAAAAATTCTATTCACACTTATCCTAATTTGCTTCTGAAAAACAGTGCAATTCCCTCAAGCAAACAGATTCAAAAATATAAACTCCATTGTGTACTGAGTCCAGCTTCACTTAGCTACAGTAACTTCTTTTCAAAGACCCAATAATTTTTAACAGGAAATTCATAGTATTATTGTAAAAAAACTAGAGGAAATATAATTGTAATGATAAAAGAATTCACTTCCGATTGACAAAACTTGCTTCTGTAGTTACAGTACTATAAGTTCTGCATGGCTCTACAAACAGGAAGCAGAAATGAAACATCTGAATATAGAGGGTGACTAGTACCTGTGGGATTCCTTTGCATGCATCACAAAACCACTGAAGCTTCTGTCTGTCATTTTCATATTCGGGCGCAAGTTTAATGCGTGTTTCTGGAAAAGAACCAGAACACAGTGATGTGAATTCTAACAAAGAAAACATACACTATCATCCAAAAACTGAAACAAATACTTATTGGTAGTATCCAAGCATCAAAGTGAGTAACCAGTTTTCACCTAATTATTCACACAACATAACGGAGGCTGGAGTATTGTAAAGCTGCAATTAAAGTCCTAATAATTTCTAATATCAAAGGACTCTGGATTTATCATTTTGCATGCACCTTCATTCAATTTCAGGGTTTTCTATACATTTGTAAATAACTGATAATTACCATGCTTAAGTCTAGCTATTATTCCAGGCTTACACCTCGCCTCTCGGGAGGTGTAAATACTTCGCCTCCGCCTCCCGCGTCTTGAGACTATGCATGAAGATAAAATCAATCAAAATATGGAGACTAAGAAACCCATCTGATTTCAAATTCAAAAACATAGCCAAAAAATATTGACAACTAGATATATTAGCAAGAGAAATTACGGGTGCTGTTATCAAGGATTGCCACCGAAGGATCAGGCTGGTTAAGCTTTGGCTCCTCCAAATTAGCTCTCCACAATGGAATAATTGTTCGTGGTTGGGCATCCTGTTCATTAGCCATTTACCCAAACAAGCGGTAGAAAAGGACCTCAACTATTAGCTTGCAGCCTATATGCATATTTAACATCTAATACATTGGTAATCAAGAGTAAGTAAAATTCATTATTTACACATAATAGAATCATATATATTTAAGAAAGCCAATGCTAACTTGATGATCAAATTCAGGCTAATTAAAGCCAAGCTTGTGGATTTTTGACTTAGTTCAGCCTTCATTTGAGCTTCAATTCAGGTTGAAAAAGGAAGCATTCTGATTTAGCTGAGAAGATATTTGGCTCAATTCACCTCTTTTTGCACTCTTAGAACCTGTATTGCTCTAGATTAAAAAATGAGAGACAAATTATACTTGCAATACCTGCAAACTGGAATATATGGCCAGCTCCAACTTGAAAGGCTTTGTATGGTTACGGGAACCAGTTGGTAAAACAACCACCCAACTGCAAGAAGTACATTAGTGAGAAGATACACCAATTTGCTTGAAAAAAGAATGCTACTGATTGATAAAAAATCAAGATTTTCATTAAAGAAACTATCCAGGCATATTGCTTCTATGGCATAAGGAAGCAAACAAGCAAAAAAAATCAAAATTAAAAAGTATCCCAAATAATAATACTCACACTTTTCTTGAAACCAATTGAGGAGCAAACATTTCAATAAATCCTGGCCCGTAAAACTCCCGCATCCAACCAGAGAATAAGCATATGTGGTCCTGCACAACATCAGAGGGCAAAAAAATCTCAGTTCAGGCAGCACTTAGTATACATGATAAATGTCAAAGTTTTGAGAATGTCATAAAAATTATAGAATATAAGAAATAAACTTCCATTTATACCTCAATTGTCCGCACAACATTGACATGTCCTTTCACCCTAGCAACATCTAGAGGTGTTTGACAATCATCATTCAGCGCCAACGGGTTAGCTGAAAATTTGAACACGCCATTTAATAAGACTAATCCACACAGTTCAAATCAAACATATTCATCCTGTAACAACTAATAACTTGGTTTTCGCATAGCATTACAGAAATGGATAAGACAAATAACCTCCATGTGAAAGAAGTAATTTGACAGTATTTTGGAGGCCCCTCTTTGCTGCATGGTGCAAGGGAGTCCCAGCATGCCGACCTAAACACAAATTACACCAAAACTTAAATCAGTTAGTATACTAGTCGTTTCTGGTAAAGCCTCCAAAGCCCCTTTACTTTACCCAAATGTCATCCTTTTTAACACGGGTTATTACCAACCATGACAAATTTCCAGCAAAAATTTCAAATGCGAAAAAGAAAAAAATTGAAATAAAGAAAGTTTCTTCAATATCGTACATCTCTGGTTCTGGGAGTGATTAAAAAAGGTTAAATTTATTTGTTAGAAGCAATACTCAAAATTTAACTTCATCAAAAAACAAAAATTAATTAAATTCCCTTGAGAAATGAATTAAAAAAAAAACAAACCTGGACGATAAGCGTTAACGTTGGCACCGAGTTCGATCAAAGTTTTGGCCACATTAAAAAGCTCCGGATTCAAACACGCTAAAATCAACGGCGTTTTCCCTTCTCTATCAATCCACTGCCAATCCATAACCAAAAAAAAATCGATTAAAACCTAATTTAATCAGTTTTTAAATAACAAAAAAAATCAGAATTAATTAGTTGGTACCTCAAGGCCTGCGCCTTCACGGCAAAGAGCTTTGATCCCTTCAGTGTTGCCGTAATTCACTTGATTGTACAACAACTCGCCTTTCGATTGTTGTTGCCCCATTCAGAAAAAGCTTCCGTTTGGTTCGATGGAAAATTGGGCTCTGCTTTTTCTATTTTTTCCAGGAAAAACTATTTCCCGGAAAATGAAAAGGAAAAAAATCCAAGGTTAGGATCGAGGGATTGAAAAGTAGCTTTTAATAAAGGTTTCTTAGCAGAGGAGAATTTTGGAAGTCAGAGGGATAAAATTAAAATATTTTTTAGTCTATTTAATTATTATCACTTTTGTATTTATTTTTTCGCTAAGTAATTGCGCAGGAAACTGAATTGACGTGTATTAAAGGCCCGGGGCGCGGTTCCTTGACGACTAAGGTTTTTGACACGTGCTATTCTCTCATTGGATCACTAATTATTTACATATACCGGTCCTTTTTTTGAAAAAAAAAGTTAATTTTCTTTTTTAATAAGAAAAAAAATCCTAAATAAAAGTCCAGATTGAGTCAATTTCTTGATAGATGTAATAACTATGGTTGGTTCAGCTATCAAATATAGTTGGCAAGTTATCAAAGTGACATCAACAACTTTGATGGCCATAAACAAGTTATCAAAGTGCTCTAATGCAAATATTGCAAAACAAATTTTCTCAACCAAATAATTGGTATTAGGATTATCAACCCACCAAATAATTAATGGATACAAACATGGTTTAATATGTTAAATAATTGATCTAAAGATTCCCACCACCCCAAATAATTTTTCTACTAGTGGTAACAATATTTTACTTTGTATATAGTTCCTTCTTTCACTGTCCCAATGAACCCTTTTTATTTGTTGTACTCATTAGATTATCTATTTTTCTACGGAATTTGAAAGTAAAATCTGAAAGTTAAAGTTTATTAACCTTCAATCTAAATAGAAAGTAAGATAATGTTTGTATAAAAGTATATATATATATATATATATATGTATTTAAGTGTATGTAATTACGTGTTTGTGTATAACAAAAGCTGTTCAGTATTTCAATTTATTCAAAAAAAAAAAGAGAAAAAAGTGACTTTGCTAATGTCACAAATAATAAATTTTATATACTGTACAGCTACAATGTCTCACTAGAAAGATTTTAGAAGGTAACAGATAAGAAACGAAGAATGAATACTTAGAGTTATATGTACTTCTTTCTGCCTCTAAAGTAAACACCTTTGCAGTCATCATGTCTGGAGCATGGAGTTGTTTCTATGCCTTGTTGAGGCAAAGTGATGCAGAATTTTTGTATCCTACTTCCCTGGATAAAACATCCAAACCTAACCTTTCCTAAAAACAAAGTACATCCCATGCTTGATTGTTGATCAAAATGCTGCTGTCATAGTAGCTGCATAATCTTTTTCTGCTATACATTGCCAGATCACTAAGTTTCAGGAGGGGAAGCTTCCTCATTGGTTTCATCAGCAGGTGGTGGAGATGGTGGTTGTGGAGGGTGTGGTGGAGTAAGGGATGATGCGGCTGAAGCTGGTCTTGTTACCTGCATAATATACCTCAATTGCACCCTATCTCTATTTCTGAGCCACCACTCTTCTGCCTGATGTGCAGCAAACCTCCGTTTACTGCAAAAATGTTGGAGTCAATTAAAGGCATTGAGATTAAGAGCTCTTCATGCAAGTCACTGACCAATCTCAATGCAAGTCTTGCACAATAAATGCTAGTCAATCTTGGGTTTTCAGAAGTAGAAAGGATCGTCAGGGGAATCTGGTTATCCGGGTATATATACGTCGATGGTGCATTCTTTGTGTGTGTATGTTTGTGTCTATGCATGTATGGGTGTTTGTGCCTATGTGTGTATGCATGTATGCTGTATGTATGCATTCTGTATCCATTCCTATCACTGATCCTGTTTTCCTGCGGTGAGATTGTTAACAAAACATCTAACTTTGATACAACACAATAATTATATAATTTTTTAATTATTTAATTCCATTTTATTATATTTTAATCATGTTATCATATTAAATATATAATATATATTATATATTTTAATATTTATATAATATATAATTTAATTTATACAATTTATATTATATTATTAAATCTTAATTCTGAATTATATTTTACAATACATACATTCTATAACTTGCCCCTTGATATACAGAGCTTAACTAATTATTCTTGAAGTGATTGTACGAAACTGAAGCTACTAAGATTGATGACCAGCCATTCTAATTGTCTAACAACTATGCTATCCTCTTCTCATTGTGACATCGTTTCAGTCTAGCTAAATTGTCTCATGTGGGACCCATCATCACAAGAAAAAAACAGAATTAGTCAAAGGATGAAGAATATGGCCTTGAATCTTATTCATTCTGCAGGAATCACAAGAAAAATTAATTCTCTGCTGATCCATGCATGAATTGGCATGTGGAATTTCAGTAGAATCAACCATTTAGTCAAGTACCTGAATCTAACTCGTCCAAAGAGCTTGGCACCATTTTGGTTATAAGAGAAGGTGATGTAAACTCCAGGTTCAAATTGCTCGGTAAGCTCATTTTCTCCTCCACCTCTAATTGCTGAAGCCTCTGACGACCTTGATTCTAATTGTGAGCTTTGTTGAGGTGCAGCCTCTGACGCACTTGATTCGATTTGTGAGCTTTGTTGAGGTGCAGCCTCTCTTGTAATAGAACTTCCACTATTACAAGATGGGACAGTAGCAGCAGTGTCTACATTATCTTCCACTCTCTGGTCTTGCATATCTGAAGACTCCAAGCTTGCTGGAAAAGAAGCGGCAGCTTCAGATGTTCCATGTGTGTGTAAGAATGCTTCAGCTTGAGTATGCATAGCTCTAAAGGTTTCGCTTTCCAAAATCTCAGGAGGCAATGTCTCTGTTATTTCCTTCAACTGCAGAAGAATTTTGATTTGTATCATCAGTAGGTTCTAGATGGTGTGATTAGCATTTACATAGAGCAGTGGTTTATATCTAGTGGAAATTTTAAGTGAACTAAACTATACCTGATCTGTGAAGGATTTCAAAACTTCCTTGGCCTCTTTACACTTGAATGATTCTGCTGCAGCATATGAAGCAGATTCTTCAGCATTTTTTCTTAGTTTCTGCATCTCCGTGTCTTGTGAATCACATTTCTGGTTCAATCCTTTCATCTGTAATTGCTCAAAAGAAGAGAAAAGTTATTTTTGATGCAAGGCTGCAAGGTTAACACTAGCAGTGTAGTAATGATCATAATGGGATAGCAAAAAGGTATATCACTAGTACTTGATTTTGCAATTTTGCCACTTCTTGTTTCAAAAGTTCATTTGACTTCCTTAGGCTTTCAATAAAATTCCTTGAAAATGTAGATGTGACAGAGCGTGGAGGGCTTGGTCTCCTTGAGTATGGTGAACTAGATCTTGAGTTGATGGGGGACTGAGGTGGTGGCGTTGGTGGAGGAGTAGCAGGTTTAAAAGCATTTTGAATAACAGTGAGTGAACTTGGAAAAGCAATATCTTTAAGCTGTAAAAGTGATGGAGCTTGCGAAGCTTGGACAAGAGAAGGAGAATCATATCTGGCCCCAGGTTTTCCTGACCTGATCTCAAGGTATTTGAGTGGGTCTGTGTTAGGAGAGAGCAAAAGCCTAGAAGACCTTATCTCTCCCCTATCCATTCTTTCCCTGCCATCTAATGAGGGGCGGGGACCAGCAACTTTTCTATTCAAACTTGAAGTATTACCAGCTTCAGCAGCTTTAAGTTTTGAATAGCAAGCATCACAAACGCGATGAGGTTTGCCTGGTGTTGGAGCCAATGCTGCTTTCAATGCTTTCTTGGAACTGCAAGCATGGCAGTGCACCAGCCCACAATTATAACAATTGTGCCTCTTTCTAGTGAAACCAAAGGCCTGTCGGCAGCCAGAGCAAACTGACTGGTCAGCACCAGAGACCCATTTATGGATGCATATACTGGAAGTGAAATTTGAACCACATGATATATTTTTGACATGCCTATCCTTCAATGCTTCAACCAATGTTGGAGTTCTCCTATCTTCTGTGTCACCATGTCCCAGTCTTCCATTGGCACCTCTTCCCCAAGTGAACACTTCACTTCTTGATGTCAGGACAGCAACATGATATGCTCCACAAGAAATTTCTTCAACAAATTCACCTACCAGTCTTTCTTGTACCAGGCATGGTAACTTTCCATCAGCACTTGGGTTGCCTAGTTGACCATATGCAGTACCACCCATAGTAAAGACATGACCTGATGTAGTAAGTGCAATAGTCATAGTATGTCCGCAAGCTATCTGGTGGAAATTGTAGTCAATTAGTGAAGAGACGCAGGTTGGAAGTAGATAAGTTTCCTTACTTCCATGTCCTAGCCGGTGTTTGTCACCATCACCCCAGGTAAACAACTTTCTTGATGAAATGTTGACACCTGAATGGCCTATAACCTCTACAATAGCTGCCGTATGCCATAACCCACATGCAACTTTAATAGTCTTTAGTCCATTCAACATTTGGACTTCTTTTGGATATGTAAGACTTTCTCGATCTCCATGGCCCAAAACACCGAATTTTCCATCACCAAATGTAAATAGCTTCCCATTAGAGGTTGCTAGAGCTGAATGCCATGTGCCACAGGCGATAGATAAGACTTGTAGTCCTTCTAATGCACCAGAAACTCTTTTTGGAATCCAGTGGCTAACGTCAGTTCCATGACCAAGGAGTCCAGCATTATGAGTACCATCACCCCAAGTGAATAAATCACCAGATGTGGATACAACACATGTATGATACTCTCCACATGCAACAAAATCCACATTATTGACTGCCAGGAACTCAACGAGTCGGGGGTGGCTAAAGTCTTTTTCAATTCCATGACCGAGTCTCCCACCAGATTCCTCACCCCAGGTGAAAACTTCACCTTGCTTTGTTACAAGAGCAATATGTCTAGCGCCACAAGCTATCTGATGAACATCAAGAACTACATTTGATTCTAAGGGCTTAGGAGTTAGCACATCAATTTTTGTGGGGACTGAACTTGCGGACCCATCTGGTGTAACTCCATCAGACCAAACTTCTCCCCATACGTAAACATCACCTAATGACTCTATGTCATCTGGACCAGATCCGCCACTTGAACAGCTAGGAGTGCTTGAAACACTAATTCGAAAACCATCTCCAGCACTAGTTCTCAACTGCATACTTGCGCGTTCTGACCCCACATCTGAGCTTCCAAAATCTATAGACACCCTACCATGGGCAACACTATTGTTGAACTCTAGAGCTGCACCAAATGGGCGGCCATTTAGAAAGAAATCTCCTTGTAGCTGACATAAAGACATGGAAGTTAGCAAGAAAAGATTTCAATCTAAAGCACAGGCAACAATATATCGCATACATTCCCTGAATTCATGTAATAATGGTTCTCACACTGTGTGTATCATTCAAAAGACTATCAAGTTCGATTTGATGTCCTTATTAATTCATACCTTGAAACACGCCATGTAGATTGTTACACTTTAAATTGGTAAGAGTCAAAATATTTGCTGCCATATTCCCAAGTTAGTGATTTAACTAATGAATTAGTATTTTGCTAGAGCCAGTCTCTCCTAAATTCTCAAGCCACAATTGCGTTATTTTCTAAGTGGATTTTCCAACAAATACTGCTTCAATCTGCCAACTTAGTGCACATAGGTAGAATGGAAAACTCACATCACTGAAATCACTCTTAGTTCGTCTATTACGATTCTGTCCAATCAATGCCTTGAGCCCTGCAAACCACACTTCTGCCTCAACTTTGTCCTTGCAGATCTATGGAGGTAGACAATGGTAATCACTGGATTCAAATTTACCATTCAGCTGAATATAAATATATAGCAGAATTAACTGTTAAGTAGTACTAACCAGGTCGAGAGATCTTTCGCCGTTATTGTATAGAAGTGAAAAAGATAAGTACTCCTTTTCTGGGCGCAAATATCTTCTAAAAACAGCCTGTAGCAGTTCGCAAACAGTGGTTAGTTATTTCCTTTTTTTTGCATGGAAATCTTAGTGGCATAACATAGAAAAGAAGGCTAATTAAACTGCAACATTTTTCATTAACTGGAAAACTGAAATGCAGACATAAAGCTTACAGTTCGTTGTCCAGGAATGATACGAGAAACAGAAGATAATTTCAGATTCCTCTCTTCTCCATGTGATAACCATATCAGTGTTGTTTCATCCTGTTAATACAGCTAAAATTGAAATCATATATGCACTTAAGGTTACTGAGAGGGAGAACTGCATATATTTTTCTACTAATAACTGCATGCCAGATAGAAAATTAAAAATAGGAAATAGAAGAAAATTCACATGCACATGCATGTATTAAGGACTACATAAATGTACTTCTAACATATGTTTCTTGCTTATTAACTTACTTTTTTAAAGTGTAATGCTGTTAAACCAATATATTGATGTGGGAAAAAGGCTGAAAGAGTACATTGCTATGAAATAAAATTGCAGATTTTGAAATTGACAGAAAATAACTCACAGGAGAAAGTCTAAATGCACGAAACTTGGGTTTTCCTTTACGGCTGTACTTGATAAGCTGAGTGCCCTTTTTCAAAGTAATAAGTGCCTTCAAAACAAAGGGAAAGAAATTAAAAAACAAATAAGAGCAAAGAGATCCAAATCTTAGACAAAAATGAAACCAAGAAAAAATAAATGCTAAAATCTGCAGTCTGCGTGAATGAAACAGGAACGTTTTTTCTATATGACTACCAGTAAATGCGTTTCACTTTGGGATTTCCAAAGGGCTACTTTCAACCAGCCCTCAAAATTTATTTATGTTTTTAGTTTTTGCTATACATTAAGAGAATGAGGATCATGTAAGACATGAAGATGCAGATGCTTCAGGCAGGGGCAACAGATTGAGGAAGTTCCACAGATAAAGAAAATGTGTCACTCGGCATTATATTCTTGATCATTTCCAGGGAATTTATCCCATCCCTTAGTTTCTTTTAACTTGTTGCTCTCAGTTTCTTATTTTTCACCTCATTCATATGTGAAATCCCAAACTTTTTCTTTTGAGTATTAAAACTAGCAAACTAGGGACTCTTGACTTTGTAGCTATCAATCTTCACATGGTCAAACCCATATATAAATCCAGAGTCTACATGAATCAGTATCTCTATGGTCCTATTCTATAATGTATAATTAAGAATCTTTCTTCTTAAAAAAGGAAAACCAAAAAGAAAAATTTGCCAACATCATACTAATTAATTATCGGATTACTATCCCTAAGATAAATCAGAATTAATATAAGCTTTTGTTCTCATTTTGCTTATGTCAGAATCCTCCCCTGCTTTCATCTAAGATTTTCTGCTCGTTGAACAAATAGTCATAAGTAAACTCATAATTACATGAATCTGAGTGTCACCACTAGCCTTATTATTCAAGAAAACAGCCCCATTTTACCCACTTACAGCAAACCACATGGCAAATTTATGAAAGGGATTACAATTTCTATAACATGTCTTAACTCCTTTTCTCCTCCTTTGTTTATGGACCTAAAGAAACCAGCATAAATACCAATAACTACAACCTTCATTTCTACCCTTAATCCTCCATTTTTTTGAAACCCAGACAGAATATAAGTAAACTAATTGCAAGAAAGGTAAAGAAAACAACTCAGGCTAGGCTTGACCGTTTTAAATAACCCTTCTTTGCAAAAAGTTAAGTCGAAGGAACCAATCCTCTTCCTCTTAGACGTCTTTCATATCTCCAACAACAGAAAGATAAGAGAGAAGAAAAAGGGTAGTAATTACTTGCTCAATGTCACGTTCAGAATTGCCATAACTAACAGGATCTGCCATTCCATTTAAAAAAACTGAAAGGAAACCGCCAAAGAAAAAGACGCTCTAGCATCAGGTGGTGAAACGGCGACTCCCTTGCCCTTGTCTTCATAGATGCATATGCTTTCTGCTTTGGCCTCTCATTAACAATCAAAAGGAAATATATTCCTTTCCCAGCATTCACCAAGTCCCAAAACAACTCGTCATCAAAAGCAAATATCTTTTCCTCAAAAAAGAAAAAAGAAAACACCAGTTCCTTATTTTTGGATCAAATAGAAAAAAAAAAAACCCACACTTCGAAACTCAAAAAGGATGACCCATTGATTTACTGTAAAAATGGGGTTGTTTGATTTGATCCTGCAATGAAATTGTTTTTACTTTGTTGTTGGTTTGATGAATGTTTCTTTGTTCTGTAATGAGAGAGAGAGAGAGAGAGAAGAGGCGAAATGAGAGGAAAGTAAGCGGTGGAATGTTGTGTGAAGGGACGTTTGCAGCTCAAAAGCAATTAGAGGCGAGACATTGGCGCGCTTCTCTTCCTGCTTCCACCTTCACCTCCCAACTAATTTAACTTCCTTTTTTTCTCTTTTTCTCTTCATTGCCACGTGGCCAAACCTAAACTCTGGTTTTAATATTTCTTTTTCAATTTTTTTTATATAAAATACTATAATAACCCTGTTCGTCCGGTCGAATATGCATGTAGCTTCTTTCCCTAGAAAAACAAATGAATAAATACATAGCAGTTGTAAAGAATGTGCATATCTACGGCAAACGAGTTGGATGAAGTAACAATATGAATGAATAGCATGTTTTCAACTTAGTACTCTCAAAGGATGGCAGGATCTTTGTATCTTGTGAAGACTGCTTCAATATCTTCCATTACTTCTGGTAGCAAAGGCCGCTCAGGTGTCAGAAAAGCATCAATGTCTTCCTTCAGTTGGTCGACCGAGGTTGCCCCAATGATTGAACTGGTCATAAATGGACGATCTCGCACAAATCCAAGTGCAAGTTGAACTGGAGTTAATCCATGCTTTTTAGCCGTCTCGATATATTGTATTGTTGCTTCCTGAAATTCCAACCAAAATAGCAAAATATGTGTCATCAAGCCCAGCATTTATGTGGTTATGCATTTTGATTTTTCCTTCCAAATATAGTAACTTAACGTCTGATTTTCATGAGTATAAACAGATGAAGGGGAAAGCAATAACTTCCAGAAAGCTCTAGATCCTTAGTGGGTCTATTTATCTGCCATCAGACATGCTACTGAAATTTGGTTTACATTTTCTAGAATGTATCCATATATTTCTGGTCACATTCCTACCATCAACATACCTTGGAAATTGACTTGTTATATCTTTCCATGTAGCCAGGGAAAAGGTTCAGCCTTCCTTTCTTTGCAGCTTCAGAATTGATATCTAAATATTTTCCACTAAGTGTTCCACCGCCCAGAGGAGAATATGAAAGTAAGCCGATATTGCAATTGTTTGGATGGCAAACTTCAATCAGGTCAACTGCAAAAGCACAAAGTTAAAAATTTTTATAAACATGCAATGCTCAAACGGAGTCCCTGAAGGAGCATCAAGATTAAGCATTGCCAGAGCTGACTCTATTGCAGGGTGTTTCATAACAAGATGTCTAGCAGTTGTAAGTAGTTGAAGACGGTCAGTTTAAGTCTAGAAATATCTATGTAAACAAAAATAAGCTAGGAGTTGTTAAGTTTTAAGACGAGCATTGAAGCTAAAACCAATTGATGATAGGCGGAGAAACTTTTGTTATTTTTAAGTGCCCCGCTTACCCTCAACTATATCAATGTGGGATTTTTTATGTCACCACTTCAATACTTCCCCTCACACATGTAGGCATAACAAACCTATGATGAAAAGGGCTAACGAACAACCGCAGCACCTGCTTTAATACCATATTAAGTTGAATAACCAATGTTCTAAGAGCTTAAGCTGATAGGAAATGGCCCAACTATTATATTTAAGTTCTAACATGCCTCCTCACATGCAAACCGGATGAACGATTCCTCACGTGCAAGCCTGATGAATGATTAAAAGGCTTGAATGTGGACGGTGGATCCAAGCGTAGAAGGAAGGTGTATGCTGAAGAATGATTAAAGAAGCATTGCATAGCCCAATGGACAACCAGATACTGGAAGGAATATTAAAAGGGGAGAAATGCATGTTCCAGAATTCAAATCTCTATTAGGATTAACTGTATGTTCCTTTTGGATTTTCGCTTATATAATTTCAGGATGAGCTTTACCCTCAGAACGCCTAACCAGCAAACTGTAGCTGTTTTGGATACTAACGATCTTTGGTAGTCCTTCGACTTTAGCTGCATGAACAAACTCCATCACTCCATACGCAGTCTCATTGGATACTCCGATATAGCGTACCTAAAATTGAAAAGCATCCATACCAATCATAGAGTATATGTCACATCATCAAGCATCTATAAGTTTATGGAAGACAAAAGATCAAATATTTCAGAATGCCAAGCTTGTGCAGTTTATTGTTCTTCTTACAGTTACTAAGCAAATTCAGACACCCTAACGCAACTCCTATTTTTCTAGTAGGGATAAAGCAGCTATCAATTGATATTCACTTCAAAGCTAGATTTTCATATTCAGAACACAAAATCTAATTGATGTTTTAGCAGCACTCTGGTTAACTCCGATGCTGTTTTATATGATGATAAATAGTCAGCTCAAAGAAGATTTAAATATATATCTAACATAGTTTAGGAAAGCATTACCTTCCCTTCATCAATAAGTTCTTGAAAAGCCTTAAGTTGCTCCACAAATGGTATGCTTGGTCTCCAGTTTGAATAATTATAAAAATACTCACCGAACAGTGGCACATAGCGATCTGGCCTGATTGAATGTTGAAATAGAACATTAACCTCAGAAACCATTAGTTAGAGAAAATTTGACTACATGATCAGTCAGAGAAATACATAGCTTCTTAAATAAAATATAGATTCATTAATGAGCTTATATTAATTATATTTCTCCTACCTATTATTGGAGAAAAAGGCACACAAAAATGTAGACACGAACCAATTCACAAGGAAAAGGAAATCAAGAAGTTATGCTGGAGATAAGACAGCCTACAGTGCCAAGTCAGTGAATGCCTCCAGATTTCTGACTTTACCCAGAATCGGGAGTCAAAGAATGAGAAGTATAACCACTCAGCCTGTAGCCTTTTCAAAAGATAGAAAAGTGAAAAATGGTGCATGGTTTTATAAAAATTAAAAAAACAAAAACAGAAAAAAGCAGAGAACCTACAAGAATTGATGCACTTTAAAAGACAGCAATCTTACCAATGAATTTGCAATAAATCAATGTAATCGGTGTTGAGGCGCTTAAGGCTTTTCTCTACACTTTCTCTAATATTAGCAGCATCAACCCGTAAAACTTTTGCATTGTCACGCAGATAAGTTGATCGCTCTGAATAGCCACTTACTTTTGTTGCCAAAATAACCTGTAAATAATGGGGGATCATAATAAATATCAATTTGAAAGCATGTAAACTATTCAGCATACAATATGCAATGTACATTGCAACATCACCTTCTTGGAAAATGTTCAAAAACTCTGCAAATATGGACATAGAAACCAATACTCAGAAATCAATTACTAAAGCTGAGAGGAAAGGAATCAACTTACATGAGATAATTTATTTAAGCCACTAGAAAGTAGAAACATGCATTTATTAACAATAATTGAGTGATTCATTAGGGACACATGAATCCAAGAGTATTTTGAATATTGGCTTATCTCGAAAATTTTTAAAAAGTTCACTAAGAAATCAATGAAAAATAATACAATTCAGAAGTCTCGTTGTTGCTGGTACACCTTTTGTACAGAATTCATAAAGGAAAAACCATCTCAAGCACTAAAATGTAAAACTTAGCAATATTCTATGACATTCTATTTCAAATAGCATATTAACAGGTTTAATTTAAATATTATCCTCTTAAGAAAGTTTAGCTGAAAAATCAGATGCTATCTCCGCCTTTGCAATGTCAGCTTTCTGGGAAAGCATTTGGAATGACATGTATACCTTTTGAGCAACTAAAGAAGTTGAAGCTGAAGATTTAAAATTTTCATTAAAATCTATCACAAATATCCTACAAAGCATAGGAAAAAGATATATCACGCAGCCTCTTCTCTCTCTCTCTCTCTC